CTGTTACTTCACCATCCTTCACTGTAATTGCATTTAGTGTCTGTGTCTGTCCAAGACTGTGAGCTCTTTCAGGGAGGGACCATGACCTACACATTCTTATCCCCAGTGAGCAACATAACCCCTAATCAGTGGGACCTCTTTTTTTTTTTTTTTCTTAAAGATTTTATTTATTTGACAGACAGAGATCACAAGTAGGCAGAGAGGCAGGCAGAGAGAGAAGGGGAAGCAGGCTCCCCGCTAAGCAGAGAGCCCGACGCGGGGCTTGATCCCAGGACCCGGGGATCATGACCAGAGCCAAAGGCAGAGGCTTTAACCCACTGAGCCACCCAGGCGCCCCCAGTGGGACCTCTTTAAGTACTTAATGAATTTACGAAATGAGAGCTCACAGTTGGCTTGGTTTTGCTTATGTCTTTGACTTTTTAAATCATTGTGCAAAAAAACCTCATCTATGACCAAAGTAGAACATAGGGCCAGAATCTGGGCTGTGAGGCTAGAATTTAAAAGGTATGGGCTGAAAAAAATACAAATTTTTTTTTTTTTTAGAAAAACAAAGCTAAAATAACAAAGGAATGAGGATGGCATCAAGAGTAAATTGTTTTAAATTTTATTTTCATTCCAGTATAATTAACATGTGGTATTAAATTAGTTTTGGTGTACAATATAGTGATTGAGCAATTCTATATAGTACTAGTGCTCATTAAGATAAGTGTACTCTCGGGGCACCCAGCTGGCTCAGTCAGTAGGGGCACATGACTCTTAATCTCGGGATCATGAGTTTGATTCCCACAGTAGGCATAGAGATTACTAAAAAAATTTAATTAAAAAGATAAAGTGTTATCCCTCAATAAAGTCTAAAATGATCTATATATTGATCATATATATTTTATATATGTATATATATATATTATATATATATATATTCCCACTCTCCTCTAAAGCCTTGCAATCCTCTCCATTCAGTTGGCAGAAAGAGGTTTATTCAGGGACTGAACAGAGGTTCAAATGGGAAGATTTTATGGGACAGGCCCCCAAGTGCAGTGTGTCGCTTTGGTCATGCGCCATTAGTTAGTGCTCACTCACATGGCCACACCAAACAGCCAGAGAGACCCGGGCAATGGAGTCCAGTTGTGGCTCTGAGAGAGCACAATGGGTTTGGTCAAGAGCTGATGAGTCTGCCTCTGGCACAAACTCCAGATTATTCCAACAATAGATAATCATAATCTAGAGCACTATGTGCAGCTCTCTCCTTTCTTACTTAATGCTTGCAATAATCTGATGGAATTGAGTATTAGTATATGCAGTTTAGTAGCCTAAGGTCACATAGCTCTGATAGACAAACCAAGATTTGTACCCAATTCTGATTCCAAAGCCCACTGCCCTATGCTGCATTTCTCCAATTAAATCATAATGTTAAAAAGTGAGACTATAACCTGACTGATTGGCAATTAAACTTAAAAGATCACCTAACTGTTGCTTCATCAGTACAGTCCATCTTTTGCGTTTTTTCCAATTTGAATAATGCACCTGTGCAAATTCCCCTGAACCCTTATTTTAATATATAGCTTAGATATGAAGAGGTCACGGAGTCCCTTGTACATGAGTGGAGCCTATTCACTGTCTCATCCCTTAATTCTCATTAGTGCTAACGAACTAACACAGATTTGTTTCCAGAGGGAACATCCTTATACCTCATTTTTTCTTTTTAGAGATTTTTATTTATTTGAGAGAGAGAGAGAGAGAGAGAGAGAAAGCACAACCAGGAGGGGCAGAGGGAGAGGAAGAGAGAACCTCAAGCAGGCTGCATGCTAAGCGGAGCCCAGTATGGGGCTCCGTCTCAGGACCCTGAAATCACGACCCGAGCCAAAACTAAGAATCAGGCGCTTAACTGACAGCACCACCCAGGTGCCCCTTATCTCACTTTTTAAAGACAACTTAAATATATCATTCATTTAATATTCATTACCTTTTGAACAGTAGAGACATCAGATATGTCCACTTATTAGTGAATAATAGTTCTATTTGTGCAACGAATGATGCTAAGCAATATATGATTATCACTTACATCTCTTATAATTATGAAAGACGTATCTTATATATAATAGTTATTATATAAGATACTTACATCTTATATATATATATATAAAACTTCATTTAATCCTCAATACCACTTAATAAGTTAAGTGTTTTTATTACCAGTATTTTATTGATATGGCAGTTAAGGCATAGAAAGTTGAGTAAATTGACTCAGGCAACAAAGTTCATCAGTGAAGAAAATAAAACAGGTCAGGCTACATGAAATTCTCCCAGTAATTTTTCCCAAGTTCAAGTTCATAGTTCTTTTTTTTTTTGTCATTATCCTTGCCATATATATTCCTATTCCTCAAAATACTTACCACTTGAGGCTTTCGTGACTCTCTATTCTTGCTTCCCTGCAACTGCATTACACCTTTATTCCATGAGCTCAAATTCCTTGAGTATGTAAACCTAATAATTCCTATTGTTTCACACACACATGCCTATTTAAAACACGAGGTGAACACCTAATTTAGCTGTGTCCTAAAGTAAATCCAGTTTATTGATGCAGAGAAATCCCTACACTTCCTCTAAAACAAAAGGGAATATATTCTATCTAGACACATAGTTGAGATTAGAGAAACATCGATTTCCATTTTAATTGAGATTTAACTTAATATCTTTTTTATTTTATTTATTTAAGTAATCGGCACACCCCATGTGGGGCTTGAACTCATGACTCCGAGATCAAGAGCTATAGGCTCTTCCAACTGAGCCAGACCTAACTTATATCTTCTGTCAAATTTCAGGTGCCATGCCTAGCACAAAGCCAAAGACAACTTAAAAAAAAAGGAGGGGGGTTTGAAATATTTTAAATGAAAAGACTTTACTTGGGAGTAAGACTTTACTTGGGGACTTTAACATCTCAGAAATAAAACCCCGATCAATTAAATCTAGTATGAATCTGTTCTGATGTGAAGTTGGGAAAAAAATAAAACACTCTGAAACTGAACTGGTCACTGGGAAACTCTCTTCCTGGTTTATACTTTACTATCTAAATGCCAGCTGGAACCTCAGGTAAAACGTAATTTGCATAATGGTCTGGGGCCTGTACTGTATCCAACAGAACAGAACACACAGAGCAGACAAAGTGCTGGAAGAGTGAGGACGGATTTTATGTGTCCGCTACTGATAAACTCAGTCCTCTGCACAACTTGAGGCTGAACTCTTTAGTGAGGCTCCTTTGTCAGCTGTTTTTTAGGCAGGCCCCCTAGTAGGTGCTCAATAAAGGTGTGTTGGGAGAAATAGACAAACCAAGAAACATACTCTTGACTACGGAGAACAACAAACTGATAGATACCACAGGGGAGGTAGGTGGGGAGATGGGGGAAATAGGGAAATAGGAATACACTTACCGAGGTAAGGGGGAAATGATTTTCAAAAAGGATTTGTTGGAAAACTCAGGCCAAAATGGCGTTTGCAGAGAGGTAGTAGGAACAGTTCTGACTTTTCATTGCTAACTATATAAACTCTAGATGACTTTTGCAACTGATTTTGCAGGTCACTAATCTTTTCGTAGCACTAATCTTTTCGTAGCTCTAACGTTCAAAGGGAGAAGAGGCAGAGGCATTTTACACTGTGCATGTATCTCTCTGAACTTCCTTAAGTTGACTGGGTGGAGGCTCTACCGTTTTAGGCTGGCCCGTTGGTAGGCACCTGCAATTTCCGCTCCTCTTTCCCCCTCTTCCTGGCTCCACTGCCAGCTGGGTCAACGGGGGCTCTGGGAAATACCACACCCCTCAAACCTTGCTTTAGGAGAAAACAGGTAATCTTTATGTTTTAAATCACTGCAACATGAACTCTTCCAGTGGATGCTTTATTTGAATAGAAAAATCTCATCTACGAGAAACGAGTCGGTACGGTCCAACCTGTTCTTTGCTCTGGCCTCCACCATCCCCGGAGCCCTCCGTCTAAGAAGGCTGCCGTTTCCCCGCGGGAGCTGAAAGCGGCGGCCTCTTCTTCCAGGCCTCACCTCCCACCAGCTCCGCCCCAGCCGACCCACCTCACCCCCACTTAGCGCCCCCATTGTCCCCTTCGCAGCTGTCACTGCGCACGGATCCGGAGTCCCCGATTGGAAAACTTTCCCGTCACTCAGCCCATATACTCCGGGGCCAGACTCCTCACTCTCTATTCCGAGCCTTAAAAGGTCTAAGGCCGCTTTCCTCCAGCCGGCAGGTAAAGCCGCCGCGGAAGGGAGGAAGGGAGGGGCCGCGCGCTCAGGTAGGCCCCGCCTGGCGACGGGGTGCGGCGGACTGGGAGTAGCGCGCCACACCGCCCCTCCTCGACCGTCTGACCGCGCCCTCCCCCGCCACCCCCAATTCCTGATCACAATGCCAGAGCGGCGGAGCCACTCGCGTAATGCAGCCCCGGGACGGCCCAGGAGGCAGTTACCACCGCGAAGCCCGGAGGGCGGGGCGAGCCAGGGCGCGGGGAGGGGGTGGGGGAGATGTGAAAGGTCCCGGATGTTGCTGAACCGGAGCCCCTTCTACAGGGAGTGACTGGCGCAGGCGCAGGAGGGCCGCACGGAAAGCTAAGGTGGGGGTGGGGAGGAATTTCCTTGCTGGTTTGGAGGAAGAGTGAGCCTGTAGAGGTTGCGGGGGATTGGAGAAGGCGAGGTAGGAAGGCACTGGTAGGAAGGAGAAAAAAAAAAAAGGGAAGACGCTTCCTGCCCAGGCTCACTCTACCAAGAGCAGAGAAGTTGGGAGCTGAGCGGGGTGGGGAGGAGCGTTGGTAGCGGGAGAAGTGGTACGCTCCTCCGCTCGCCCTCTAGCGCGGGCGGGCAGGACGCGCGCGCTAGGGAGCGGCGGTTGCGCTGGGCCCCCAGAGCTGTGGGCACCAATCAACGGTTGCCATAGCAGCGTTTGACGTCATCGTGCGTGTGGTGCCCCTGCTGTCGGGGCTGGTGATTGGAGGAAACCCCGTGTCTGCGGAGCCGCTGTAGCCTGTGAGCAGCGAGATCTACGGACAGAGTCTCAGCCTCGCCGCTGCCGCCCAGAGACTGCTGAGCCCCCGTCCGTCCGCCGCCACCCTCTCGGGACACAGGTAAGGGACCCGGCTGTCGCCACCTATTCCCATTCCTTCCTTTCCCAAACCAACCTTCCAAAAGCCTGAGGGCGGTCCCCGCTCCACAGCCCCTCAGCCCCGCTCGCCCGGCGGTAGCGGCGCTGGGCTGAGGCGGAGTCTCCTTAGGCGGAGACGGGCGGCGGCTTTTCCGCTGGGTTCGGGCGGGCGGCTCGCGGCTGCCTAGGGCTACTTGCTTCCGGACTGATGTCTTGGCCCCATAAGCGCCGGTTCCCGGCCCCCGTCCCCGGGCTGGAAAGGGCGCCCACACGCGAGATCCCCGGGGACCCGCCCGGTCGCCGGCTCCCGGGGGTGACCGAGGCTCCTCTGGGCGCGTTCGGTTCCCACCCGCACCCCCTCCTCGTCGCCGCCCCGCTCCCGCCGGAGATAATGACTTGGCGACTGCGGGCATTGCAGTGGCGCAGGTGAGGCCGCCCCCTCCCCTCGCGGTCCTCCCCTCCCCCTGCCTCTCCCGCTCGCTGCTGCGCGCAGCCTCCGCGCCCCGCGCTGCGGCGACTGCACCCAGCCCTCCCCCACCCGGGCGGCGGCGCGTTAGCAGGACCGGGCCGCGAGCCGAGGCCGCCCCGGAGGCGTCCGCCAGGTACTCTAGGGCGAGGCCTCGTTTCTGGCACGAGGGGGAGCCGGCTCTGGGGTGGGGCTGGCCTGGGACCTGGGGCCTAATTTCCTGGGTTCCTTGGCGGGGTGGGGGATGGGGCTCAGGTTTTTTTCTTTTTTTCTTTCTTTCTTTCTTTCTTCTTTTTTTTTCCTCACCTCATGGTGAGTGGGGGGCTCCGAGTCCTGGTCGGGATAGAGAAGAGAATGGGGGAAGGCGGTGGACCGGGGTCTGGCTTGCCTGCCCGGTGGGCTTGAACGGGAGGGTCGCTGTGCTGGCTTTTTAGACTGTGTCCCCCTCACGGGGGGTGAGGCTGAGCGTAACAGCCGGCGGTGGCCCAGCTCGCCTGGGTGTGGCTCTTGTCCCCTCCCCCACCTGCTGCAGCTGTCGGGTCCTTACAGCCTAAATGAGCACCAGTGGTGTCCGGTGGCGGAGGAGACGCGGGTGGGAGAGTGGGGTGTGTCCGCCGCCCCGCGGGTCGTGGTTCCGCTTCTGCGGGCGGCGCTGGCGTCTCTGCCCCCGGGGCGGGCGAGCGGCTCCCCCCTCCCTTCCCCCGGCTCGGGCGGGGGCGCGCTGCTCCTCCCTCTTGCTCTGGTGGGGGGAATTAACACTCGGCAGTAGGTTGGGCTCCTTGACACAGATCCGCCATGACAAAGAGGGAGAATCGGGGACTTGGGCGGAGCCAAGGAGGGGTGGTTGCGGATAGCGCGCATGCTAGGATTTGCACTTTAAAAGTCAAGGTCTGTTCTTGTTGGTTTCACCTCAGTCTATGTCTCTCGTCCGTTAAGGGTTAAAATGGGTGCGGCGAGTCCTCTCCGCAACACAGAGGCGAGGCTTTGGAGTACTACTCTGTGAGAAATGCACTTCCCCTTGTACCCGAAGGGTTGGGGAGAGAAACCTTTGTACTGGGGTTTGATAATTTTTCGTTAGAACCAGCATTAACCTGAGAGCGTTTTGAGTTCCTAAGGGAAAAATCAGTTATTTCAGGGGTGTGTGGGGTCAGGATATGAGATCATAAATTTTAAATAGTTTTGCATTGACACGGTATACCTCACAAATAAGCTAGCTGATTACGTCTTTACCCTGTTCGATTTGGCTTTTTAAAAAAGTGTTGTGGGATTTCCCTAGGAAGGTAAAGGATGTGATACTGGGGAGTCAATTCTTAGACAGTGGCAGTGGCTCTTCTGTTCACCTTTTATTAGAGCACTTCAGACTGTATATTTACCTTTAAAATCACTTACTCTGTTGGATCAGTGTATGGCTTAGTATCTTTCTGTGCTGTTTTAGCACCATCCAAAAGGGTATCTTTAAGGAAAAGTATAACGTTTAAATTAGAAAGGTCTAGGGAGCTTAAAAATGAGAGAAAGGATTAGGTGAGAAGTTAACGGTAAAGGCAGCTTGAGTGATAATTAAATTTTGACTGCTAAAAACAGTGTAATTCTATATTTAAATTGGAGCAGTGACAGAAAACACTGATCACACAAGGTGCACTTCATATATTATACATTTTAGTGTTTATGATGGTAAGTCGTAGGACTCAGGTATGTATTAAGCATGTATGGGTGTTTGGGGTGGGGGTAATACCAATAAAATTTAAATTTAAAGCATTTCTGACAAGAATAGCAGGTATTATTAAAGTAAAAATACATAAATTACATTAAACTGACCTGAATCATGATTCTGGAAGTATGGTAGAGGTTGTAATATTGTTCGCCGACAGTGCTTTCTCAGTAAAACAAAACAAAACAAAAAAAACTGCTTAATTTTGATATGATATTGGAATTGAGATTTTGGCCAAGTAAGGTAAGGGTTGGATTTTAAGGTAGCCTCGTTACCAAATGTGCTTTCGCTTTATGTGAAACTAGGATCTTCTGAACAAAGATGATGCAGTGCAGTTTTAGTTTTGCTTCTCATTTGTTTTATATTAATGTATTTAAATTTGTCCCCTGAATGCTGAGTATGCCCTCCCCCCCTTTTCCCCCCACATTCTGGCCATCCTTTTGTGAGGCTGCAGTCAGTTCTCATGTGAAGATGCTTCCTTGGGCATTTAAGTTTGAGGTATTAGTATCACTTATTTACAAGAGGTATAATTTTGAGTCTATTTATTTCGATGGAAAAATCTAAATGCTGCTTTTTTTCCCTGCAGAACATCCAGTCATGGATAAAAATGAGCTGGTGCAGAAGGCCAAACTGGCCGAGCAGGCTGAGCGATATGATGACATGGCAGCCTGCATGAAGTCTGTAACTGAGCAAGGAGCTGAATTATCCAATGAGGAGAGGAATCTTCTCTCAGTTGCTTATAAAAATGTTGTAGGAGCCCGTAGGTCATCTTGGAGGGTCGTCTCGAGTATTGAGCAAAAGACGGAAGGTGCTGAGAAAAAACAGCAGATGGCTCGAGAATACAGAGAGAAAATTGAGACCGAGCTAAGAGATATCTGCAATGATGTACTGGTGAGAATCATTCAGACTAGCTTCATTATAAAATAAGGCTCCTATAATGAATATCAAGTGTTACTTTCAACTTCTTTGGTTTTTCTTTTCCTTTCAAAAATTGAATGTTCTAAATTTTGAAGTCTTCAAGGTGTCATTCCTAAAAGGTATTAAACAGTTGTAGTTAAATTGGTATAAAGTAACTGCAGTACTGATTATCAGTTCAGGTAGACTAAGAAAGACTGGTAGTGTATTTTGTACTAATTGAAAAACTATTACAGTTTCGGTTGTGGTTAAGGTATTTATAGTAGTTATAGAGCTCATTTTCTTAAGCGTACATTTGTGGATATAGGTACCTTGCTTTATGTAAGAAAGATGTAATAGGAGACTCATTATAGACATAATATCCTCCCTGGTTTAGCCACTTAGCTATGCAGAAGACTATGGCTTCAGAGTTGCTTTTTGCCTCTTCCTGCATTAAATGTTAGAAGTTAACTTTGTACACAGACAAAGATTATGAAAATACCAAACTTGATTTTTCTAGGTTCAATCAGGCAGTATTTTAAGAAGTTAGTACCTACTGCATTGAAGCCCTGCTTTTCTAAAAAGCTTAAAAGAACAACATTGCATTTTAGCTAGTTGTAATCAACCTTTAAATGATAGCTTTCTTATTCGGAAAAGTTTAAATCTTAGGATAAATTGGTAGGAGATCCAATCATTTAGATATAACATAGATACGTTAATACTTTTCCTTTTTAATGATGCAGGAATGATTTTACTAAATGATTACCTGTAGGGCTTCCAAGTTATACATTGGGTCTCAGTATGGCAGTATTGAGTATCTGATTTTCTCTGGACAGGTTACTGATTCTGGGCTTCAGAATAGAAACCAAGGTGCACATTTACTTGAAACTTGTTCATGGAAGGGCTACTCTAATGAGCAATATAGGAGTATTTCTGATGTGGTTTTAGGTTTAGGGCTTTTGTTTAAGTTACGCTGGTAATATTCCTTTACACAAGTTTTTAATTACTAAGGGGATAGCTTTAAGTCCTGAATTATCCTTAAATGATAATTTCTTTAAGCTGTATTTTAAAGAAAAATATTTTTTATCTTTACCTGGGCTTACAAAATCTTCTCTTGTAGTGTCTGTCTTGGGTGGGGTCTGTTTGTGGTTATGTTTTTTTTTGTTGTTGTTGTTTTTGTTTTTGTTTTGTTTTGTTTTTACATGAATAGGAGTCATTTCTAAGGTGGGAAAGGATTTTCTGTGTCTTTATTAAGGCTAAATAACAAATGTTTATCTTGTGATTTGCTAAGGTAATAAGAATATTTAAAATTCAAAAATAATGTCTTTCTATAATAAAATGTGTTGGATTTTTCTCTTTTGCTCTCTTTACGGACTAATACCTGTGTACACGTTACTGAATTTTGTTCACTCTGGTGTTTTTCCTCCAATTATTATACCTGATAGGTCAGATAATTTTTACTTTGGTTTCAAAGAGTTTGTTTTGAGTTACAATTTAAGACAAAAGCCAACCTTAGGAATAAAAGGGGATGAGTAACATTTACTCTTTACTAACAAGCTTCTTTGCTATTCCAGGTAGGTATTTGCATGTTTTTCCTACACAGAATACAAAGACTGTAGCAGTTTTTACTTTGCTTCCATTTGATTTCCTTATTCCAAAAAAAAAAAAAAAAAAAATTACCGCATAAAATGAGTGGATGGTAATAACTAGATAATCTCTAAATAGCTTCTTTGTTGATATGATTATTAAGGGGATTTGATATTGGTGACTTCCCATGTTCTTCAGAATAGTACTGGCCTCTTGCTAAGTCTAAATGAAATTTCCACCTTGAGCGTATCGATAAATGAAAGTTTAATTCCTTTGCCATACCAAAGCTAAACAGATTTTTGCTTCCAGCTTTGGTCTTTTAGTGATCTAAAAGCTGATCTTTTAGTTCTGCTCTGTTAGTGATCTTTGCGTAGTTCATGCTTCCTGACATAAAGTATCTACTCAAGTATTTGCTGAGTAAATGAACAAAAAGTCTTCTTTCGGAAAAGAGGATAATAGAACTGGTCTAGCAGCACTGCTAATTTTCTAAGGCCTTTTCTGTTGTTTCATCTTGGGAAAATTCGGTATTTACAGATACTGTGGTTTTTCAAGTAGACCTATCATCTTTTTTTCAAACAGGTCATGCTGGCTCTGGGAAAATACCACGTAAAATCCCTTTTCCCCCTTTGAGGAAAATGAAAGAATAAAATACAGCAGAACTGATATTTCTCCTAGAGAAAAATCTTTTTGATGTACTTGATGATTAGTGAAAGTCTGCCTTAATATTTTAAGGTCTTACATGGTTTTTTAAAAAAAAAAAAAAAGAAAGAAAAATACAATTTTTAGTATAGTTTTTTCCTAAGCTTTGATATCCCCCCACTGGCCATTTGAGAAAAATAAGGAGGTAGTCCCTTTTCGGAATTAAAGTTACTGATTAGTTGCATCAGTGATGAACCAGACTTAATTATTCTGTTGAGTTTTTGAGTATCTGTATCATACTGGCCAAAGACCTCTTTCCATAAAAAGGAGCTCAGTTTTTCTGAAGAGCTCTTTAGTCTTTTATTAAGTGGTTACTGCCATTCTAGTTAAAAGCATTTATCGAGTGTTTGATTAACATCATTTACTAAACAGAAAGGGTAGTCATGTTACTTTGTGCAAGAGTTGTAGAACATTACTGTGGGAAATGGTCATAGGCATTCACAACATGGACTTCTCTTTTTGCAAGAGAACTTGGTTCTTCCTTATGTTGTTAATTTGAAGTTTGCCATATGTGAACCAAAACCTCTCCTGGTAGTGGGGTAGGGACTAAATAGTAGTGATCTCTACTACTTCCTCTGCATAAATAGACAAGAAGCAGCCAAAAACTGGATAGTTTTGTCTTGAACGTGAAATGACAAAATACATACTAGAAAACCCAATTCCAGCTCAAAGAAGAATGTAGTGGTGTAAAAAGAACACCACATTCTGACTCAGGCCAGCTTTTACCATCTAATAATTGCAAGGCCTAAGGAAATTACTCAGTTCTCTGAGAAAACTGAGTTCAATTAAATGACAGTAATGTCTACCCCATAGGATTGTTACCGGAGAATGAAAATGAGGAGTCTCTTAACTCGAGTCCAGGAATGGGATTTAAAAGATCTAGGAAGCCTTAAAAACTATTTTTGTGGGGCAGAGGGTCCATACTGACCAGTGAATTTTCCAAAGTGTCATTAAAAAATTTGAAAGCCACTGGTATAAGGCAAAAAACAGCTTACAAGAGGTGAAGCAGTAAAATCTTGTATCTAGCATCTAACAGTTGGCAGCAGTAGTTGAGTAATAATAGTAATACATACTTAGTTAACCTGAGTCCCATTTTATATGCTTCTCTACATTTTTATTTGCCCAAGGCAGTTTTAAGGTGTGGTTGCTGGGCACTCACTCTTATCTGTAGCCTACAGAATTGCTGTTAAGCAGGAACAAGCTAGGAAACCAGGTAGCTTTGGGGGCTTTGCTGGCCTGAGTATATTACGTGCCTTGGGCTTTAAAAACTGCTGTATGGAATTGTAAGCTGACAGTCACTAGACAGTTTATTTATTGGAATTGGGTTTCTCAAAAGAATCTACAGAGTTATACTCATCTTTACTACTTAATATATTTACATGTTTTTGTCAAATGGATTTTGGTATGTTTGAAAATACAAAGTCCTTTTGTTGCATAGTAGATACCTCCAGCCTTCCAGGGAGGAATACATTGGACAGAGTCTTTTTGATAATAAAATTCATTATTTTTGAGGAGTTGTCATGATAAGCAATAAATATTGCACCTGGTGAGCAGTTTTATACAGTTAGAAAGTCTAAGGTGTATGATGTGGAAATGAAAGGAAATAGAGGATTGAAAATAGAAAGGTACTACGTTTGCTCTTTGGTGGGAAGGGGAAGAATTACCAACAACTGAAGAGCAACAGGCTATCCTATCCCTTATCAGTATAGCAGTACTTCACTAAGAATCTCTTTCTGCCTGTTAGAGTAAGAGATACAGATGATAGGAGATGTTTAGTTTTAGTGATGAGCTGTGATGGTGATGATGATGAAAATGGAATTAATGTGTTAAAAGTGAACTAAGGAAAAGTTGAAAGGATTTGAAATTAGAATTAGAGTGAAAAACCTGAGTTAAAATCTCAAGAATAGGAAGTACAGACACACATAGAAAATAATGATTCAACCTCTAATCTACCGGAGAAAAAGGAAGAAATTGTATGTGGCCCCCACAGAGGCATTTTGAATTAGAAAGGTGGAAAATAAGCTATCGTTGAGTTATAATAGCTCACCAAGAGTAATTTTGCTTTTCATTTTTTCTTTTAAGAACACTCAAGTTTACTAGTAAAGAAATCCTAGTGGTAACACCTCAGTAGTGGTACAATAGAAGCATCCTAATTGGCTAATTGAAAAGTAGTTTTATATGATCATACTTGTTTTAAATATTTGCTTTAAATTAAAAAAAATATTCATGTATATGTTCATTTGTCCATTTCTAATGTGAGACCAAGCCTTTTCAAATAATTTGCTTAACTACCATTATCAACGTATCCTTTACAAAATACAGTTTGAGTCTGCATAGTAGAGTGAGAACTTAAATGTGTGGTAAGCATTTGCTTCAGAATCCTTCTAGAAATGTGTAATTTTTTTCTTTTCATTGTTCAACCCAAGCTGTTTTTCTGTATGTAACTCCCGTTAAAAACTAGTTGCCCCCCCCCAAAAAAACTTTAGTTTTTCTGAAGCACTCCATTTAGTTTTCATAGTAACATATCTTTTCACCCTTGTATATTCTAACATTTAACATAACACTTTAAGTAATTATAGCCAATTTAGTGGCATCGTTTGGGAAATAAATATCGACTCTTAATCGGGTATCTTAATAAATAATCAGTAACTGCTCTTAGAAGCTGAGGGGGATTCCAGAGAGTAGCTGAAAAGTGTATCCTCAAGCATTTA